GAACCAGGGCGAGAGAGACAGGGTCCGGAATTCGATGGATGCACCTTTCCGTCAAAATAAAAGCACCGAGCTCATAAAAATGCAGTGAAACTTTTTAATTGAAAGAATATAATTTACAAGAAAAGCCCCAAGCCATTAAGTTAACCTTTTTCTTTTATTGTATTTAGTTGTATTACAAATTATTGTCTATTTCAGTTGTCTGTTTTATTTAAAGGAGCTATATGTAAGAAATATAAAGCAAATAGTCGTTAAATCATCCTAATATGTCACAGAGACTAAGGAATAATGTTCATAATAACATACTGATTTCACTGACAATAGTACGGCCAGAATATTCGCATTTAAAAAAAAAATTTACAGTCCACAAATCATGTTTATGTTTTGAATTTATGTTTTGGCCTGTTGCGCCACCCACCACCATCTACCAGTCACACAGTCAGTAGAGTCTCAGCATCAGTTACAGTTACGACTGAGCTACAGCAGCACGGCAAGCAGCATTAGCTGTGTCCCGGTACATAGCATTAGCAGCCAGCTCCTCCTCAGCTGTATCCCGGCAGCAGCGTTAGCAGCAGGGAAGGCGGACTTGCTCGAACGGTCCACTAGAAAACCGAAGATCAAGGACGCAGCGACGCGGCCCTGCCGCGGCAGCTGCCTGTGGGCAAACAAATCAGTCTCCAGCGTGCCGCTGTCCAGCAACCTTGAATCTGTAGGGGAGGGGGTGGGGGCGGACACGACTCGTGGCAGTATTTTGAATTTGAGTGCAGTAACTGTTTTGGCCACATTCTTACATACAGCGCCTTTAATAGGCATTTGATCCCAGTTTTGTACATTATACCTGTAATTTGTAAATGCATTTTTTCGATAAAGTTTGGGGCGGTGGGGGCGGAAGAGAGAAGAAAACTGTGTGATGCTCGCCATGTAGTATCCTCTATCAACCACAACAACAACAACAACAATATGGTACTAAACCGGAGACGGAAATCGATGGTACGCCAAAATTTCAAGTTTTACTTTGGTGAACACTTTTACTTTCCGATTGAATTCCAGATCCGCTCTCTAGACCGGAACCAGAATCCAGACAAAATTCAGAGAGAAAAGAAACCAGGCTCTTAAGAGCCTGGTGACGCGAGGCTACATCATGTCACATTGAAACACAGAGCACAGACGGAGCGGGAGAGGCTCCGGTAAGCCAGCGGTAATTTTGAAGGTAAGGTAACAAGAAACCAGACAGAAACGAAAGTTGCAATAAAAATCCTCTCTGCTGAAGTTTTAAAGTCACCACCACAACATTATATGATCCATTTCAATGATGACATGCTTGCCCAGAGGCGAAATTTCAACGTAACTGCCTGTTTAATTCACATCAAGTGTGATACAATTTTGCAAACAGCCTAAATGATTTAGCTTCTAAAACTAAATAGCACCAAGGCAAAAAAGAGATGTAGGAGCTTTAAGTCAAAAAGTCTGGTAACCACTGAAAGTTTAATCTTTATTTATAAACTCATTATGCTATAAAAGTTTAATCTGAAAAGTAACTACTAAAGCTATAATCTTTTTGCTCGTTTTGATAATAAACACGTTCCTTTGCAACACATATATTTCTATTTCTTCATTTTGTGACCGCAACACCAAGCCCCCCGCTCCAGAAAAGATTTCAGATTTCAGGCACACAAATCTTCCGTGCTCCACATTTCAGGCACAAAATTTTTTCTTGCTTTAACCCCTGTAAAAGTCTACACTGTAAGAATGTTTAGGATCGAACAGGTACTGCAGCTCTTTCTGTTAATTGTACTGACATGCACGAACAGAATCAACACATTTTTCCATTGCTGAGACAAAATCCAAAAACTCATGACTTTATCAGACAGACAGCAATAGGAATAAACGTGGAGTGATGTGGTATTTCTGATGGCTCACCACCCTGAACCTGGACTTTATCTGACTTGTTGAGAGGGGCTAACAGGACATCCAGCTCATCTCCATATGATGTTCACAGTTTTACTGAGCAACATAAACAAAGATCTCAAATGTTCAACAAACGATTTTTTTGAAAGATCCACAAGACCAAAATAGATATTGACAAATGTGGTTATAAAAGACCTAGTTACTATATTGTTGCACTAAACTGCCAAGATTTTGTAGTTACAAGTAGCCAGCCTTCTTATCGGGGTACACCACAACCAGAAACAGCTTTTCAGATTAATTATATTATAACGCAACCAGTAAAATGATGGTCAAGTCAAAAAGTCAATCTAAAGCTGAAACAATTGGTCATTATCAATGAGTCAAATGACACAAAATGAATAAGTTTATTAAGTGATTAACTGTTTAAGTAATTTGTTAAGCAAATATGCCAAGCATTATCTGGTTGTAGTTTCCCCTGGTGTTTTTATGTCACTTTAAACTTAATGTCTTTGGGTTATAAACCGATTATTGGATAAAATAAGACATCTGAAGGAATCACTTTGGGCTCTGAGAAACAAACTCGTGTGCTCATGCGCTGATCCGCAACAACAGAAATTGAGTTTACCTTGAAAGTGTATGCTGCATTCTTCAAAGAAATGGGAAAGAAATTTTAGAGTGAGATGGTGGATGGAGACAAGAGAGCTGGACTGTATTCAGAAAGCTTGATGAATGGGAACATGGGCTTCAGTTTATCTGTGGCTCTACAATAAAACCTAATGAAGTGGATAACAAATACAAGCTACTCTCTTACACTGCACATTACCCTAGGTTGGTACTTGCTTACCTTGTTTCTGACACTGTTAAAAAAAAATCTTAATAAGAATAACTATCAGAGACTGGATTAGAGGGCAGACCATAACTATTCTTTAACACCGCTAACTGTGTGACAATGTCTTCCAACTCTCAATGCTTACTGTCCCTGAATGAAACACATTCAGTCCAGATTGGTACAATCAGTTGACACACCAAATTCACATTTGTCAGCTGCTCAGCAATAATAATGTGTTATGATATTAGAGTGATAAAAAGCTACTATGATCTAATGATCTTTGTGAATCCCAACATAGTTATTTAACACTGGGAGCAACCTAAAAATTCAGTGGTTTATATTAACTTTTCATGTATTCATCACAAATCCCTCTGTGAGCATTCTATTCACATACTCAAGTGTTGCCATGTAGTATCATCTACACTAGGGATGCACGATATTATCGTCACATCATCGGTATCAGCCATTATTGGCTTGAAAATGAATCAGCAAACATGCTTTTTCTTATTTTGTAAATTGAATGAATAGCACATACATTGAAAAGCATTCTATTTCATGTTTCCATCTGCTGGTGAGCCATCATGTTAAGAGTATGCATACATAATATGATGGTAATTCCACTACAGAAGAGATCTGATTAACACTAAAATAAGGTGGGGAAAAAGTGAATATATCAGTCAGCATCGGTTATCTGCCAAGTAAGTTTTTATACACCGGCATATTGGATATCAGCAAAAAATAACGCGCATCCCTAACCTACACATCCCAATTACACATGATTTTCCCCTGCTTCCTATACATTCAGACTGGGCTGGTTGTTGCAGAGAAACTGGGACTGCACTATACACACACAAACATTCAAAGCTGAATCACTGTATTGAGATAGAGGCTGAAATCTCAGAAATCAATATTTTAAAATCTGAGCTACCCGAAAAACTAGATACCTCAAAAGGTGAGTGAGAAAATGTTTTGTTTTTTCTGTCATTTAGCTGAACTGACCCTTGAAATTTGCTATCCATTTACTGCTTGACTATACTTCAGATTTGCTGAACAAAGTCCAACTTCCCATGAGCAAACAAGCTCCAGTACAAATGTAAAAATGCTGACACAGCCAAAGAAAATTACAAGTATGTCAACAGAGTGTATGTGACAGTAAAGGTCTTCTTTGTTGTTGTACACTGATAAAGGGTGAGTGAGTTAAGGATGAAGGTCACACTGACTCCTCCACAGATCCTCAGGATTAGAAAAGCCTAAACCAATTACAGCTGATAAATATAGGCCTGCAATAATCTTGTAAGGATAAATATTTGACTACAAGCAACAAGCGCTCTGATTAGCAATGGATCTTTGGCTGTGCTTCACTGCTCAACAACCTCTCAACATGTCAGATCTGTTTATCTTCTCCACATTACCATCATTATATAAATAACCCTCACACTTATAAACCACATTTGCCCCCCCCCCCCCTACTGACACTTATAAGATGTTTAAAAACAGGTTATAGAGCAGTAGCATGATTGATGAAGATTACGGTCTGGGGGTTTGTGTAGGTTGTGGACGGATCAAGAAGGAAATCCAAACCTAACACACTACAGCTAGTATGACATGACTTTAAACGTTTTTATATCTGAACTCCTTTGTAAGTGGCCAATAGGGTTGTAGCGGTATACCAGTTTGAAGGTATACCATGAAAATGTATGGTTATCATACTGTGTACACTTGCTTATCAATGATATTGGGGGAAAAAATGTAACTAGATCGAGATTCTCAACTTTATTTTAGTTATTTTCAAAGTGGAGACTTTTTTCACATACTTCTATCAAAGCATAGTTTCAAGTTTCAGTTATAGTATTAAAATGTTTGTTCAACAAAAAATTACCATTCCATTTACACTCCTTAAAGGGTCATTTTGAGTGTATATTGTACTAACGCGTTTTAAAAGAGTTCATAAACTAAAATTGTTCAAATGATCATCTTGACTAATAAAGTATAAATGTAAACCCCCTGAAGCAGACTGGCAAATGAAGGTCATGTTTTTATCTTAAAAATGCTGGGGGAAAAACATGCACACAGTGGGCAACACCGGATCAATTAAAGTAGAAAAGTAAAAATAAGAGGAAAAGAAAAAGAATCAGGGCACACCAAGTTCTCGAAATAAGCATTTAAGTCTCATGGACATTACAAAACCAGCCGTCTCATGAGATTATGCGTCAAACACGAAGTGAACTCCAGTGCTAATGAACATAAAGTGTAAAAGTCACCGTACCTGAACTCGAAGCAGCCTACAGATATGTCATGCCTCCCTTTCAGCTGTGGCAAGTTAAGCTTTGTAGATTGTGAACAGAGAGGGAAGGATGCGAGAAGGAGGAACTGTTGCTCTTCTTCAAATTGTATCAGCTGAAACTCAATTCTTTTTTAACTCCCTCCTCCAGACAACGTGGAGCTGACTGGTAGGATCATCCAGAGGAGCCTGCTGCGGCAGGCACCTACTGAGGCAGCACGCAGTGTGCCATCCAGCTAGCCACACACATAACTACACTGAGGACCGGCCGACGAGGTCTGTTAAGATTGCAAACATGAAATACCTTTAACTTTGAGCAGATGCGCAGCTGTTGGGTCTGTTGACATGAAACCCAACTGTTACGCTTCACATTTCCCTTTGAAGCTGTCCATCACCAAACTATCGGCTGGCTCAGTTAAAACTCAGAGCACAACAGATGTTATATACAGCAGGGGCAGAGTCAGTGTTTTGTCATCTCTGCAGTGATTTCTGGGCATCGGGACGTGAGGATCGTCTAACGTTAATAGCAAGCTGAGCCGTTATGCTGACATGCTGTTAGCTAGCTAGCTGGCTAACGCCGAGCAGCAGCAGTGAAGGTTTTTTCATTCATGAGCCGCCCTAACCGAAGTAACGTTGGCAGCTGAAGCCAGTGTCACTCACCTCTCACATGCCGTTCTGAACGAGTCGGTACGGCTCACACCATGAAAGAAAATGAAGCTCACATCAAGCCGCAGCACTGACCGGCTAGCTAGCTAGCTAGCTACCGTTTGCTAGTCGAGCCACCCTTATATTTCTTTCGATGTCACATTCACAGCTCATCTCTGCAGTGCTACACAGCGGCTCCAGTGTTGCCTGCACTTCCACCTCTGGTTCCCATTATTCCCCCGGCTCTGCTCTTTTTCATCTAACACCAATAGCTTTTAATGTTAGCAGGCTACAGTGTCTGCTCTGCTACGAACGTTACACTGTCACCGACTAGGGTATCTACAGTGAAATTTCACAGAACGACGTTATTTCCTCTGCCCTGGTTCAGTTTGTCAGTCTCCAGTTGGCTCTACAACAGGCTGCTTGAGGGTCTTCTCATGTATGATGACAGCATTTTCATTTGACTACACAAAACTACACTTCCGGATTATTGACTGTTTAGGGTTGAGTTTACCCGAACCGGGTCATATGCCGAACAACTTCCCTTTTGTATCTGTAGACCTATAAAGTCAAAAAAAAACTTTCTCATGCACACATTTGAAGAGTCTCCTGAACAGGTGCGTAGGAAAAAACAGGTCAGAAAAAAGATTCCTGCACACTGTTGCCAAACTTGCAAAATATTTAATGGGACAAAGCAGCACACCGCCTGATGAAGGTTGTAATGACCGAAACGTAGCTGCCTTGTCCCATTAAATATTTTGCAAGTTTGGCAACAGTGTGCGGGAATCTTTTTTCTTTCTATCTTTAGACCTACTAATACAAATCTGCCACAGAATAATAATATATTAATTTTCAATTTCCCTTATCAACAGTCTCTGTAACACCAACATCCCAAAACCAGTTTTCTTTATTGGTATAAAGGATCATTTCAGTGAAGTAGGGGAAACCAGGGCCACGTGTAACAAGGGGTAATTACAACATCTCTAATAGAGACAGAGCGCAACATGTCATCATCTGAAAGCCACGCCCCTAAAAGGGAAATGAGGCCCGCTTTCCCTGTGATGACATTCGCTAAATACAGTCAGGCTGCCGTGGTCAAGGGGTAATGACATCACAGGAGGGGACTGTGTTATTACTTGGCTGGATGAATATAACGTGTATGCCTTGTGTTGCAAGAGCTGTTCTAGCTGTAATAAAACTTGGAGTTAACACAACCTACAAGCTTGTGTGATTAACGTGACATGGTGTCAGAAGTGACTTCCGGTCAGCCGCTTTCCCTTACCGGAGCTAACGGTGCAAGCAAATTTTTTTCAATTTTCAATTGTTTATGTTAGTCAATCAGTTAGTTAGTTAGTTAGTCTGTGTATTTTATATAGATAACTGTGCCCACATTTCCGTTATCCGGTAATTGCCACTAAACGCGAATAAATTGCATGTCAATCAAAAACTATGAACCAAAAAAGCACAATCTATCCCAAGTGAGATAAACTGCTTGATCCCCGTCTCCAGTGTACCAGCAGAGAACCTGCAGAACCGAATCAGCTAAAAAACACACCGGGCTACACAGCCTCTCTACCTGAGCAGCTGAAGCTGCGGCTCGCACCCTCGACACACAGACACACAGACGGTGCTTCTGCATGCCAGCCAAACGTGTGCACAACTGTGAGAAATAAATATGTGAGGTATACGCTGCTTTTCTATCTTTTTTTTCCTTTTCTTTCTTTCTTTCATTCTGTCAGCGACATACACTCCTAACACAGGACGGGTTGTTTTTATTGACTGAGTTGATTATTACGCCATAGTGATGCGCGGATCGGCTCTGATAGCACCTGAATGTTGCATCAACCATCCAGCCGTTACAACATGATTGAGCTAGCAAAGCAGTTTTGTGTTGCTGTGTGTGGTATTTATTCAGTTTTGGGAAATCACGATGTCTAGAAAGCATCAGTGGCTGCAGCTGACAGGGACAGCTAACACTAGCAGCAAAGCTAACATCAGTGTATTGATATGACAAGTACATGCAGTATCAGTTCATGTTGTTATACCGCTGCATCAGTAGGTGGCAGTAGCTTAAGGTTGTCGAGCCATCCTAGTGATATATGTGGAAAGAGCTACGAATAAAAGAATTCTGAATCAAGACTCCGGTGTGCAAGCCTCGTTAATACATGGTACCAGAAGAAAATGAACTCCCTTCGTCAGCCAGACGAGTTAAAGTTGACTGGGAACGTCGACGAAAACTGGAAAGCTTTCAAGCAAAGTTTTGAATTGTATACTCTTGCTATCGGTCTAAAAGACGACGAAGACAAGCGGAAAATAGCATTGTTGCTAACGGTAGCAGGACGCGCCGCACTGGATGTGTACAACAAGTTTGATTTTGCGGACGCGGAAAAAGACAAGTACAAGGCTGTAATAACAAAATTTGACCAGTACTGCACACTGAGGAAAAACGTGACCTACGAAATGTATGTTTTCAGAAGTCGTGTCCAAAAGGAGTCAGAGTAAATTGAACATTATGTCACGGACTTACGGCTAAAAAGTCGTTCGTGTAACTTCAGGACATTATGTGAATCCTTGATCACAGATCAAATAGTGATTGGAGTGAGGGACAAGAACGTGAGGATGCAACTTCTTAAAGACATGGACCTCACGTTAGAGAAGGCAATAAAAATTTACCAAACGTTTGAAAGCACAAGGATGCAAATAAAGACTTTTGACAACGGCGCCGCACCCGAAACAGCTGAGGTGGATGCTGTGAGGCTGAAAGAAAAGAGAAAAAGCAACGTCAAGTCTAACAGAAAAGTGCTTCAGCAGCAGGAGACCGCGGGCTGCAATCAATGTGGCAACAGGCACGCGCCTAAACAGTGCCCAGCCTTCTGGAAGGACTGCAGAAAGTGTGGAGGTAAAAATCACTTCGCCAAATATTGCTTCACAAAGAAGAAAGTGCAGCTTGTGGAGAACAAGAGTGACAGCAGCAGTGCTGAGGATGAGACACCGTTCTTTGTGGATACAGTCAAGCTCGTGGATAAAGAGTGACAAAGAGGAAGAGGAGCCTCCAATCTACGTTGACCTGGTGAATGATGCTGAAAGCACTACAGAGTACGAATGGATAGCACATGTGGATGTGAACAGCACGGATGTTTCACTGAAACTGGACACAGGGGCGCAGGTAAATATCCTGCCAATGAAAGACTTTTACAGACAGAAAAAAGCACAAAGCGTGTGATAAAAAGGTAAATCTAAGAACTTATGATGACAAGCCTATACCTACAAAAGGAGTGTGTAGAGCTAACCTATCTTGCAATGGTAAGAATGTGAATGTACTTTTTCTTCTTGTAGATGGGAAAAGGCAAGCACTACTGGGGTTGAAAGCCTGCATAGCTTTAGGACTAAGAAAAAGAGTCCATGTCATTAACACAGAGAAACTGACACAAATGCAGACAGCAGAAGCCAATAACTGGGTTAAAGAATACAAAGAGGTGTTCAAAGGAATAGGCTGCTTGCCAGGTGAACACAAAATTAAGCTGAGGGCGATGCAGAGCCAGTCGTACACCCAGCAAGGGAAATGACAGTAGCACTCAAAAAGAGGCTGAGAGCGAAGCTAGATACCCTGATAGAAGAAAACATTGTCAGGAAGATTGATGAGCCAATAGAATGGGTTAATTCCCTAGTCATACTAGAAAAGTCAGATGGTGATCTAAGACTGTGCATAGATCCCAAGGATTTAAATAAAGGGATTCAGCGCGAGCATTACAGGTTACCAACCAAATCAGACATAACCAGTGCGATGAGTGGAGCACGCTACTTTTCCAAACTCGATGCCTCATCTGGTTTCGACCAAATACTGCTAGATGAAGAAAGTGCCAAGTAATGCACATTCAATATACCATTCAGGAGGCATTGTTTCTTAAGACTACCTTTTGGTATAACTTCTGCCCCCGAAGTATTCCACAAAACTAGACAGCAGCTGTTTGATGGAATAGAAGGGGTTGGTGTATTCATTGATGATGTGGTAATCTGGGGTCGCACGAAACAGGAACTTGATGACAGGCTTCGAAAAGTGCTCAACAAAGCACAAGAAGCAGGTTTAAAACTGAACAAAAAGAAGTGCCAATTTGGTGTGAGTGACATAACTTACCTAGGGGAAAAGCTATCAGAAGCTGGGGTGCAGCCGGACCCTGAGAAAATCCAAGCTATAGCAGAAATGCCCATACCAGAAGACAAGAACGACCTGCAAAGAGCCTTAGGTTTAGTAAACTACCTAGGGAAATACAGAAAACGTCGTACGCATAAAAATATCCAGATGTATGAATCTGTGCGTACACATGAATCCAAGCACACTTCCTTTGTACATCCCAATCAACGCGGAATTGAGCGCACATGTTGGAGTACCCGGCCCCTCCCTGTCCACGCCCCTATTTAAATATGCAAATCATATTTAAATGAATCCTGCACCTAAAATTCCCCTCTCTGCACGATCAGAAAACTAAAACAAAAGAATGAGTAAGGCGGGAAAAAAGAAAAACTTCACAGAATGTGAATTGGAGACGCTCACTGAAGTGGAGGCGCACAAAAATGTACTTTTTGGCACGCTGTCCTCCGGCATCAATACAAAACGCAAGGTGAGTGAGTGGGAGTGTGTGTGTGAGCCTGTCAATGCTGTGGGGACAGAAAAGCGTACCCATGCAGAATTAAAAAAGAAGTGGTCCGACATTAAGGTGGACGTGAAGCGGAGGAGGGCTACCCACCGCCAAAGTGTGGCTAAAACAGGCGGGGGGAGAGGAGAGGAGGAGCTCACCCCGTTTGAACAGAGAGTCGCCTGGGGTCAGTTGAAAGCAGACAAATAATTATGTGAACTGGATTTACAGTTTCCATTTGTTAATTTTATACACCACTTACACGGATCACACATTATTGTTGTAAATTAATGCAGAAGTGCACCGGGGGAAAGGTGTGGCTGATTAAGAA